CTCTGGAGGTGACTTTAAGAGATTCTGGAAAGCCACCAACAAGCTGAATGTTAAGCCTGGCACTCCGGTGAGTGTTGATGGCGCTTCCAGGCCTGCACATATTGCTAAAATATTTAAGGAACATTTTACAGTGCACTCGCCTTTGGGACCATCGTCTCGGGGGTCTCTCATCGTCTCAATGTTAGTGGTCAATATACAGTGTCAACGAAAATTGTAACCAAAGACATTGAGTATGCAATTAATAAAATGAAGAAAGGTAAATCACCGGGGCACGACCACCTCAGCATTGAGCACCTGAGACATGCTGGCTCTCATCTTCCACGGGTACTCGCAATGCTATTCAATGTATGTGTGAGTCACTCGTATTTGCCTCCAGATTTGATGTCGACTCTGGTGATACCCATTGTCAAGAGCAAGACGGGAGATATAAATCAAATTATAGACCCATTTCCTTGGCAACTATTATAGCCAAGGTGTTTGATAGTGTGCTGAACTATTACTTACATAATCATATAAACCTTCATGACGGACAGTTTGGTTTTCGGCCCGGATTGTCTACCGAGACTGCTATATTTAGTTTAAAGCACACTGTCAAATATTATACTGACAGACAGACTCCAGTTTATGCCTGTTTTCTAGATCTCTCGAAAGCTTTCGATATGGTGTCGTATGACGTTTTATGGCAGAAATTAAATGATACCGGGCTGCCTCCAGAGTTGATTTCGGTTTTTAAATATTGGTACCTTGAACAGGAGAATCGTGTGAGATGGGCAGATGAGCTCTCGGAGCCATACAGATTGGAGAGTGGGGTGAGACAGGGAGGGTTAAGCTCACCTTTACTTTTTAACCTATACATGGATTCACTGATCGAGCGACTCAGTGGCATGCGCGTTGGCTGTTACGTGGACGGCGTTTGTGTTAATAACCTCAGCTATGCTGATGACATGGTGTTGCTGGCTCCCTCGGTCAGTGCATTAAGAAAACTGCTCGCTGTGTGCGAGTCGTATGCTATTTCACACGGTTTGATATACAATGTAAAGAAAACTGAGTACATGGTCTTTAAGGCGGGTACCAAGTGTCCAACATATATACCTCCTATTATGTTGGATAGTGTTCCAATTAGAAGAGTGCATCAATTTAAATACCTTGGTCACCTGGTGACCACCAGCCTTAGAGACGATGTAGATATGGAGAGGGAGCGTAGGGCTTTGTCGGTCCGAGCCAATATGTTGTCTCGCCGATTTGCGCGATGTACAGATGCAGTAAAAATAACACTATTTAAAGCGTATTGTACATCGTTGTATTCGGCGAGTCAGTGGTTCCAGTATACTCGGGGGGCCTGCAATGCCTTGCGTATCCAATTTAATAATAGTTTCAGGTTACTGTTGCGGCTTCCGCGCTTCTGTAGCGCCTCAGCGATGTTTGCCGACGCTCGCACAGATAGTTTTGACGCAGTCTGGCGAAAAAAGACAGCTTCGTTTTTACGTCGAATACGCGGGAGTAGCAACAGTATCCTGAACATGTTTGTTAATAAATTGGATAGTCCTCTCGTGAAAATGCTCTCCGAGAGGACTAGATCATTATTAGTAATTAAGTATTAACATAGTTTTTAAGTACACTTACTAACAAGAATGGATCCCAGTTATCTAAAAATAAATAAATAAATAAAAAATAAAAAAATGATCTGAGGACTTCAAAAATTTCTTTATTCACAGTGCGAAAATTTAAAAAGATTTCATTTGAGCTTTAGTTCAGCTCTGTATGATGATTTGGTGCAGTTATCAACGATCAAAGCAAAAAAGTCCATTTTAAGTTTGACAATCAATTACTTGGGAACTAATGATGGTACAGGAAATTAATGTAGGGTTTTGGAAACTGCGAAAAATTCTACGAAAAAATATTTTTTTTTCGAAGTGATAATGTTGACTGAAAAAAAGTTAATTTATTAAAATTAAAAAAAAGTTATTACAAATTGTAAAATTATTAAAAGTTATTTCTTGAATTTAAGTATATTCGGAAAAATTCGTATAACTTCGGATATAATGTACGAACGAAGGATATCGCCGATCAAAGTGTCCATAATAATCTCTCAAAGTTGCAAAGCGCCGCGATTTTGTTTTCTTAGTACCCCGAAAGTTTAAATTGATCGTTGCCGTCAAAAATTATGAAAACAAGCAATTTTTTTTCATTTTTACCGAAGGTGACAATACTCAGGCAGCTCTTTATCTAAAAGCTCATCAACAATAAGGTTCCACAACGTGGGTCCACAAACCGAATCCTGCATGCATCCCCGAGTGAGCTTTTTTTATGCAACTTAGAATGTTAAACAAGCTGACGGCCCGCCTGATGGAATGTGGTAACCGTCGCCTATAAACATGAGCAGTACCATGAACATAACAGAGTATACTGTTTCGCCCATGATACCCCCCATGCGTTGTCATTCCTGAGGACTCAGGTGTTATTTCTCTGTACCCTGTAAATTCACGCCATATCCCACCCTTCAAACCGAAACACAACCATTACATTGTGTCAAAATGTAAGATTTTACAATGTAGCATTAAATTGAATATTACAAATAATGAATAACATATATACATATATATTTATTATATTTTACAATCAACAATGCTACCTTCATCCATAATACATATACATCAAACTTATTTGTAAATTCAAGTATTTACGTTAATCACCAAGTACAAAAATCATTTACAGAGTAATAGCATTGTTCCAATAAAAGGGAACGTAGTTTAATTTTAAAAGAATTACAATTTTGTACAATTTTCAATTGTACAGGTAATCTGTTTAATAACACTACTATCTAATGACGTGTACTGTATTTGACAATGTTCAGACGAGATATAAACTTAGCACTAACATCCTACCTCCTAACGATTTTTTATCTCTTATTCTTTTTTTTATTTTACAACACATGGGACAAACGAGCATGCGGCTCCTCTGATGGTAAGTGACTACCGCCGCCCATGATCACCCACAACACCTACGGCTTTGCAGGTGTGCTGCCGGCCTTTTAAAAAAGGAATATGCTCTTTTCTTGAAGGTTATGTTGTCGTATCGGTTCGGAAATACTGCTGCTGAAAGTTGATTCCAAAGAGTGGTTGTGCGTGGGATAAAGTGCCTTGAAAAACGCACGGTGGAGAACCGCCACTCGTCCAGATGGTTGGGATGAAATTTTAATTTATGGCGGGTTGTTTTAAGAAGCGGTTTCAGTTTTAAGAAGAGTAATCAAAATCAGTAAGGACAACTAGTATATAAAAGTTTAGAACCATTAAAATTGCGATCTTTTTAAAATATTCTCTGCAGAATTTAATTTAATTATCTTTAATAGATTAGAAGGACAGTCTATATGTACAAATCTCTTGGTTATCGCCGGTCACCAAGCGTGGTCGAACGCGCCCTCAATATCCAATGAAATAACAATGGCTTGTTCTTCGTTGATCCGGAATTTCTTAATTTTATTAAATGCGCTAAGCAGGGCATCAATTGTGGAAGTGCCAGTTTTGAAGCCATATTGTTTGCAATTGTGTTTGTTGCACGTTTACATAAATCAGTCTCTGTATGATGAGCTTTTTAAACGTTTTAAGTTATTTATTAGACCAATGAATTTATATGCATTTAAGTTAGTCTAGAGCAATTTTTTAGGCGTCGGCAAAATTTGTATTATAGCCGTTTTCCATACGTCTGGAAAATAACCGAGTTCTAGCCAACAGAATCGCAGATAGTTGCTGCGTTCGGATTTATTCGTGTGTTATCAGCCGCTCTCGGTTACCATTGAAATGAAATTGCAACCGACGGCTGACTGGGCTGTACAGAGCGAGCGAATACAGTACATAGGGGGGAAAGGGGTTGTTAGTAATGGAGACTGAGAATCCCATTGCTAGCAATATACCCAACCAGGTCGACCTCCTAGCGGTTCTCCCTAGGAACTATCATGGTTAATTCCTGATGAATTCATCATGATGGGCTAACTGGCCTGTTTTCATTCTCATCTATCACCCTTCACTGGTGCTCCGCCAGCGTATCCCGTTAGCGCAGGCGGGGTTACCATACCATTTTCACCCATCAAAAAATAATACAGTACATAGGAGTTATAGCTACCTCCCGCAAATACTTAGGTTGTGGAATGATCTTCCTGCCGAAGCTGTCCCTAGAGATTACAGCATGGGGTTCTTCAAAAACGGCTTATCAAGGTTTCTTAAGGGTCTACCTTGATGTTACATGCATCTATAGGCTACGGTAACTCTGTTTACCATCAGATAGGTCGTATGCTTCTTTACCACTATAGTAATATAAAAAGAATAAATGGAATTTTTCAAATGGCTAAACCCATACAAACCCATAGAATACTTAAAATCCTAATTACGCGTCACAGGTAATAAATAATAATGCCATAATAAAGTAAGATTTACCCAAATTCACCCTGAAATATATTATCTTGTGGATAGCACTCGTTTGATATCGTAAATTATGACATGTCAGCCAAATGAAGCGATTAGGCGCGAGGGATTCACGTTCCACGGTACATATAATGCGATTGAACAATCTAGATAATTTCCTCTATTTAAAAATGCACCGCCTACTTATTTCTCTGTTCGCCCAATAGTTGACTGGTAGAGAACACCGTCCGGTGTTAAGTCCGCCAAGCAATAGTGTCTCTTTAAACATTACCAATGTATGGTAAGCGAAGAAACAATTTATGAAAGTTAATAGAAAATCAACTATTAAATAGATATATAACTGTAAGTATGTACATTATTCTAAGAAGATTTAATATTACATGTAAATAATATCATTAAGTCGTCAAACTGAGATACCCAAATCCCAGTAATTTCAGAAAAGTTCATTTTTTTACGCTACTTAGAATGGCAAACAAGCTGACAGCCCATCTGATGGAAAGTGATAACAGTCGCCTATAGACATAAGCAGTACCATGCACATAACAGAGTATACTGTTTCGCTCATAATACCGCCCATGCGTTGCCATTTCTGAGGACTCAGGTGTTATTCCTCTATACCTTGTCAATTCACTGTTATATCTCACCCTTCAAGCCGAAAGACAGCCATGCAAACACAATTGATTTAGGGTAGAAACACGAATGAGACAGAGGTACCCAAGCAAGCGACTTTTGTACAAAGTCTCCCTCTAGTCTAGTCTAGTCTCATTTGCTAAACTAGACTCGAGAGATTAGTAGATTGGCCCTATCAAGAGTCGAACTCAGGACCTCGTTTACGTAAATCAACTGTACATACTGGTTCTTTTATTTATGTTGTTATTAACTTTAAATAAAAATACAGTCTATTGACGTGATTATTGATGAATTATTGATATGATATTTATGTTATTAATCATTTATTTTCAATTTTCTTTTTATAAAAAACAAAAATTATAAATGTATATGAAGGTTCATTTTGTTCAAACAACAAAAAGTACCAAGACTGTTGATCGCCGTAGACGAAGCGGCAAGCTAGCGTTGGGATGCAGTTGGCGTGACACTGCAAACGTCCTTCAGGAATTAATTATGGTTGCATATCTGTTTTGACACTACTCCATACAGCTGGTAGCTATTTATCAGCTACTTACAGCTTCTATTAAAGGCTCTTACGATTAATAAAGGACAGCTGTGCATATAATTTATGTTATGCACTTACAATACTCGCCGTGTGGTTCCGGCATAGAATAGGCCATCCCTTCCTTTCCCGTAGGTGTTTTAAAAGCCAACTAATGGAGGGCGAGGGATGAGCAGCAGCGTCCCTCTTAACATATCTCTAAAGCCTAACTGCAGTTGCCAACTTGCCTGCCAAGCGTGGCATGGCAATACTGGCAAAATTCCCCATATGGGGAAGGCTTATGTCCAGCAGTGGACATTTAACGGCTGAAATAATAATAAAAAACTTACAATACAGTTTAAAAGTTTATTTTTGCCTATTTTAAATGGAAAACAAGCGACTGTACAATTAATGGGAAGTGATGACTGTTATTTATGAACATGTACAGTGGCATGGGTATCATGGAATAATTTACCCATGGTACTCTTACGCGTAATCAGAGAACTAAGGTATCATGCTTATATGCTTTATACCATATCAGCCATCATGATAAACATAAGCATCTGTCGTAGTAATTTTTTTTTAATGGGTGATAATGGAATGGTAACCCTACCCGTGTTATCGGTATACACCGGCGGGGCACCAGTGAAAGATGATAAGTGAGGATGAAGCAGGTCAGTTAGCCCATTCCGACGAATTCAACAAGAATTGTTCACGATGGTTTTGGTTTCCAGGGGGAACCACGTGGAGGTCGACCTGATAGTGTATTGCTAGCAATGGGTTCATTAGACGCCGTTACTAATAATCCCTTCCCCCCTGTCGTAGTAGTTGCTATGCTCAGCAGGCAGGTTAGCAAACGCAGTTAGACTTTGGTGACGTTTTAAAATGGTCGCTGCTATCCGTTCTTCGAGGATTAAGTTCCCTTAGTCGTCTCTTACGACGTTACTGGCAACATTTGACAAAACTTCCTAATTGGAGAAGCCTATGTCCAGCGGTGGGCAATTGACGGCTAATATAATAATGATAATTAAAAAGCGTAATGAGTTATATTAGTATAAGAGGATCAACATTTTTTTTTTGTGACAAAAACTACAACAAAATTGACATAAATTTTTTTTTTATACAACTTAGAATGGCAAACAAGCTGACGGTTCACCTGATGGAAAGTGGTGACCGTCGCCTATGGACATGAGCAGTACCGTGGACATAACGGAGTATACTGTTTCGCCCATGATATACTCCCGTGCGTTGCCATTCCTAATGACTCAGGTGTTATTCCTCCGTACCCAGTAAATTCACTCCATATCCCACCCTTCAAACTGAAACACAGCCATGCAAACGCAGCTGCTTCACGGTTGAAACACGAATGGGACAGAGGTACCCAAGCAATCGACTTTTGTACAATGTCTCCCTCTGGTAAAAATGTTGAACAAACAACACAAAACAATAAAGGAACATTCCTTTGGTGAAAACGTTTAGTTTAGTTGATAACGCTCCGTTTAAAGGATGCTTACTATTTCGGTATCACCCTGTGTATGTAGTAGGTGGGAGCCAATTAAGAAAAGCAAACTTGCTGTAACTGTAGACTCAGTTTACTTTTCCAAAGTGGCTCCATCTGGTGAGCTGTGGCCTCAAATGTTCATTGTTAACTTACTCATAATACTGACTATCTTAAGGGCTAGACGAATTATATAACTGTATGGTACATTGCAGATATGAGTGCATTAAATTTTATTTTACTTTTAACGCTGCAAGAAACACGTAGATTTTTTTTTTATTTTATTAAAGTTAACAAACAGTAATACAATATATAATTATAATAAGATTACATTTAAATGTGATTAATAGTACTACCAACAACGTTAACTACAGATTGCTATATAAAGAAAGAAAGTATATAAACATGCAAATATTGCCTAGAATAGGAGCTGACCATTGTATCTATTAATTAAGTTAAATTTATAAATAACATTGACACAACCACATCACCAAATTGTACAAATTGTATAAAACAAACAAAAGAAAAAGATATTTAAATATACATATGTATTTTATAATTTACTAATTATGTGCACGCATTACTAAATTCGTGAGAGAGGGAGGACGTTACTAATTGTTTAGCTACCATTTATTTTAAAGTTTAGTAGCAAATATATCAATATTATAAAATTTGTCAGTATATATTTTTAAAATTAAAATTAATTATAAAATAATAAATATATATAATAATATGGAAATAAAAATGACCAGGTCAACGCTTTATCCTATTTATTTTTAAACTTAACTTGCTTACACCTTCTCCGGCAAAGCAACCGTTTCAAATTAAAAAAATACTTGTTCATTCCGCAATTATGTTACATTTTATTCTTTCCCATACATCCATTTCCCTCATACATGTTGTGTTTCGATTCACTATATATATATATATATATATATATATATATATATATATATATATATATATATATATATATATATATATATATATATATATATATATATATATAATAATCTAGCCATGCAAAGCCGGGCCGAGTTTCTAGTTTTAAAAACGAAAACAGACCAATAGATTATAAAATATTTTATCTGAATTGAAAATCTAATTTATTCTTGTCTTATTTGATAAATAATATTGTCGCGTCACTTCAACGAAATTATTCTTTTAAATATAATATAAGACAGAAACAAAAAAATAATCCACAGCAATAAATAAACATTTGTTCTAATAATTTACTCAATTTATTACAAATAAGTATTTCAAATAGAAAAATATCCCGAGACTGTTTAGTGAAATAGGACAGTACGGATTAAGTGAGGATTAAGTTAAATTTACATTGACAGATTAGACAGATTCATATTCTGAAATGGCAAATTTTTTAACTGCCATATTTTTGTATCTATGATTCCCTCTATTAAAATAAACTATTAAAGTATTATTTTTACCAGAGGGACAGAGAGACTTTGTACAAAAGTCGATTGCTTAGGTACCTCTGTCCCATTCGTGTTTCAACCGTGAAGCAGTTGTGTTTGCATGGCTGTGTTTCGATTTGAAAGGTGGGATATGGCGTGAATTTACAGGGTACAGAGGAATAACACCTGAGTTCTCAGGAATGGCAGCGCATGGGGGGTATCATTGGCGAAACAGTATACTCTGTTATGTTCATGGTACTGCTCATGTCTATAGGCGACGGTTACCACTTAACATCAGGTGGGCCGTCAGGTTCTATGCCATTCTAAATTATATAAAAAAAAATGTATTAATATATTAAGTATGTGAAATACTTTTTAAAATTAGGGTACGATGGGACTGACATATCTTTATAGAATAAAGGCCTCTAAATAAAAAAAAAGATAAAAAAAAAAAAGATTAGATAGATGATAAAACAGCCAGACTTATCAGATGGAGTCTTTGTCCAATTCATGTTTCTGTCGTGAAGCAGTTGTGTTCGTATGGATGTGTTCCGGTTTGAAGGGTTGGTTATGGCAGTGAAAGTATATGGTACAAAGTGCATAATACCTTAATCCTCGGGGGGAAAAGGATTGTTAGCAATGGAGTTTGACAGCCCCATTGCTAGCAATATCCTAGCCCTATCAGGTCGACCCCCACGTGGTTCCCCCTGGAAACCATCGTGAACAATTCTTGTTGATTTCGTCACGATGGGCTAACTGGCCTGCTTCGTCCTCACCTATCATTCTTCACTGGTGCCCCGCCGGTGTATACCGATAGCGCGGTGGGTTATTATTCCATTATCAACCGTTAAAAAAAAATGAAAAATATAATATGTAAAAGTCATGCGAACAAAGTCGCAGGCACAGCTACTACTTTACACATTCATAGGCGTTTAGAAAAGTAATCTTGCTATTTTCGGTGATATCAAATATCTGAATACTTTGCAGATGACTTTGGCAGTCAATAATGGCAGAAAACAGTTTAGAATCTTAGCAAATACACCCTTACTGATCTCAAATACTATTTAGACACTTAACGCTGAGGTGGCAAGGCTCAAATTTGCATAACGATTTATTTTAGTATCAGTAGAAATTCATGTACTTCGTGGGATTTCATGTGGTCTCACTATAAGCGTTTTATCTTTATGCGATTTCTATGATGACAGTTCTTAATTCACCTACATTTTTTGCATATATGCTGCGTAATATCTTTAGCAATTCTGAACCGATATTTGAGTAAATCGAAGAAAAAAATCCCGTAATCGGTTTTTTTTTTGATGGGTGAAAATGATATAGTAACCCCGCCTGCGCTAACGGGATACACTGGCGGAGCACCAGTGAAGAGTGATAGATGAGAATGAAAACAGGCCAGTTAGCTCATTATGATGAATTTATCAGGAATTAACCATGATAGTTTCCAGGGAGAACCGCGAGGTCAACCTGGTTGGGTATATTGTTAGCAATGGGATTCTCGGTCTCCATTACTAACAATCCCTTCCCCCCTGTGATCGGTTCATATCTAATTTTATCACGGTAGATGCGGCTGTTTTTTATTCTGATGAAAATCATACCGTACCGACTTGCGAAACAGTATTATTCTGTAAAACATATAATTTAAATTAAGCGCATATTGTCTGTTCAACCTTGCTTTATAGCAAAATTTATTAATATTTACTAAATGTAAAATACCATATATAAATTTTATATTATATGTACTCACATTGTAAATTTCTTGTATTAAATAAATAAATAAATTATAATAAATAAATAAATCCGAGATGTTTAGGCGGTATCAAAAGTCTTATATTATGTATTTGTATACACTTGTATGATAATTACTCGTAAATTAAATAAAAAATAACAATTATCGCAAACGATGATTATAGTAAATCCATTAAATTCGTATTAAACTTATGAAAAACGTATTAATACCGTGTGGTTCCGGCATAGAATGAGCCACCGTTTCCTAGCAGGTGAGTGTTCTAAGAGGCGACAAAAGGAATGGACAGAAGCGTCACTGTTAAAATATTACCAAATTCGAACTGCAACTGCCAACCCGTTTGCCAAATGTGGCAACGACTAGCAAAACCTTCCAAGCAGAAGGCGTATGTTCAGCAATGGATAGTTAATGGCTGATATGATGACGATGATAAACATACAGTAATTACTGAAATTATTTTCAGATTTCAATAATAATTTAAATATATATATATATATATATATATATATATATATATATATATATATATATATATATATATATATATATATATATATATATATATATAATTCTACATTGAAATATTTATTATTAAAATTTATTAAATGTACAAACTCGCTATCACAGAGGCCATACCCGTAAGCGTCTTCGAGTAAACGACTCCAGACGCCATCTTGCGGCGGAAATTATCAGCTATGCGGCAAATGCTCTCTCGATACCGCTTATCTGCTCCGTAGTCTTGGTACCGATGAGCTGGATAAGGTTGGCCCTGGAAGGTAAGAGGTACCTATATCCGTTTTTGAGTTGATATTTTCTTGATGTCTCAACACAAAATATGTATTATCTATTTTTGGAAAAATACATAATGTCCTTATCATTTCAGCCTTTAATTGTCCACAGCTGAACATAAGCCTCCCCTTTGGGGGGTTTTACCATGATTTAGTAGTTGCCACGCTTGGCAGGCAAGTTACCACCGCAGTTAGGCTTTGGTGGTGTTTTAAAAGGGACGCTGCTGCCCATCCCTCGACCATTATGTTCTTTTAGTCGCCTCTTATAACACCCACGGTAAAGGAATAGGTAGCCCATTCTATGTCAAGAGCACACAGCATATATGATTTTTTTTTATACAACTTAGAATGGCAAACAAGCTGACGGCCCATCTGATTGAGAAAGTGGTAACCGTCGCCTTTAGACATGAGCAGTACCATGGACATAACAGAGCATACTGTTTCGCCCATGATACCCCCCCATGCGTTGTCATTCCTGAGGACTCACATATTATCCCTCTGTACCCAGTAAATTCACGCCATATCCCACCCTTCAAACCGAAACACAGCCATGCAAACACAACTGCTTCACGGTTGAAACACGAATGGAACAGAGGTACCCAAGCAATCGACTTTTGTACAAAGTCTCCCTCTGGTAGTACTAACATTCTACTAATTAAATTTAATATTTGTAAAGTTATTTATTACGCCATCACATTTCACCGACTGATCTGAATGGAACCCAATCATTATTGTGTTCAGGGACAAAACACCGTCACAGAATCACTTCGCAACGCTTGATCATTTTCAATAAAACACCATTGCTTATACCCGAAATTAAATAGAAACGAAACAAAGATAAATTTGGATCTATTCTACAACTCCGCCCGCAATTCCTAATTCGTTCGGACAAAAGCAGTCGGCTTCAATGGCGAATACCAAATAATATCTTAAAGCGAATCTCATTCGGCTAAGTTAAGACACTTATTTAATGTCCGATCATTTGGCCGATCGCTCTTCATTTCCTCACTAAGATGGGATCATTTGGGCACCCGCGTTTGCCCCGGGAAAATGATAAACCCTCCTTTGAGCTGAGTTTTTTCGACTTAGTCAAGATAATTAAGGTCTCACTGGTTAGATGGTGCGAATTCTGTTGACAAATCTAATGGTAATATGTTAGAAATGAAGACTCGACTGTAACATCTATTTTTTTATTACTTGGCCACAACAGAATATCAGAGTTTTTGCTCTTTTGAAGGCAAAGCAATAAACTGAGTTGTGACCTTTTTGTGTTACTATGGCACGTGCATGAAGAAAACAAAAAGGAAATATTTGTTTTATATATTTTGCTTTTCATTCTTTTATCTCTGTTATTATCTGTGTATTATGTGTATGTTTGTATTGTCATTTGTATGCTGTAAGTAATGTAAATAAATTACCTAATTAAATATTTTACCAGAGGGAGACTTTGTACAAAAGTCGATTGCTTGTGTACCTCTGTCCCATTCGTGTTTCAACCGTGAAGCAGTTGTGTTTGCATGGCTGTGTTTCTAAATGTGTGTGTGTCTAAAGTATTATTCATAACGTATTATATTTAATTTATCGTGTATTGCATGCTTTCTGTTTTTACTTAATAATTAGCTGATAGTGAATGCCCTACGGCATCAAGCTCGCCATCTGTACAAATATTATTGGGCAATAAAAAGTAAATAAATAAATAAATATCCGCGCAAACTTTCACGTTACTAATAGTAGTCGATTTCTTAATGTCTTACTCTATTAATTTACTAATGAGGGGTAAATTATAGAGAAGTTGCTCATTGTATTTTGCTACCAATTGTTATCAATGTACTAATCACAAAACAAATGATCGGTTGTTAATTTCAAAGAAAAGCTATTTTTATACTACCGAGAATAGGAAACGAGTTGACAGCCCACCTGCTAGTAAACAGTAACCGTTACAGTAGAGATTACAGAATATACTGTGCCACCCATAGTGTTTGTTCTTACATTATATTAGTAAGAAAACAGATCAGGTTCTTCTAAAATGAATTAGAACTGCTTCTTAATATTCGACTAGTTTGAAACTTTGCATACACCTTTAGTTCTGGAGTTCGAAACCGTATATTGGGAACTTAGATTATATAGATAGAGTGTCTTCATACAAATGTTTCTTGAAAAGCGGCTCAACTTTTTCATACGGGGGAAAAGGGGTTGTTAGCAATGGAGTTTAACAGCCCCATCCTTAGCATGTGGAGGTCGACCTAATAGGACATATGCCCTACACATGATTCCTCCTAGAAACCATCGTGAACAATTCTTGTTGAATTCGTCACGATGGGCTAACTGACCTGCTTTATCCTCACCTACTATCCTTCATTGGTGCCCCGCCGGTGTATACCGATAGCGCGCATAGGGTTACCATTCCATTATCACCCATTAAAAAAAACTTTTTCATACAGTTTTGTGTGATAAATAGTTATGAATGTTTCCTTTATAATTTCTATAATTATTATGTGTTATAATTTTTGCATCATTTTAATGGGTAAAAACTCGTTTTATTTATTAAATAATTTAATATAGATACGTCAAGATACATTATGTGCATAAGTATATAGAATGCTCATAATTTATGGTAACAATTAGCTGATAAAAACTTAACCCGTTTTTGAGACTCGATGCTCTAACTATATAATCAAAATAGAGATATTAACGAAATGGCCGTCGTCACAAGATGGCGGTTTGTATATATATCCACCTTACTAATATATATATTAAACAAAATAGCTTAGGTTTTAAAGACAAAAATCCTCAACAATTAATAAAGAAAAAGAAAACAATTAAAAAGTTTAAAAAGTAAGTAACAATAAAATAAATAACATAATTTTAAAATGGCCGCAGTCATAAGATGGCGGATTATTTAAAAGTTTGTAAATAAAAGGAATGTTTTTAAACAGCCTTGTATCGCAATATCATATCAGAATACTTCAGTTATCCGTTTATAAGCGACTCAAACATATTAAAACGACCAAGTCAATATAAGAGTTAATAAAGCCGGGCTGTTGACCGGATATATATTAAATTACGATACGATATTTCGTAAAAGCAAATAATATAAGAGACGACTCATTCGTTGGTTCAACTATGGGTACTCTCGTCCGTAGCGATGTTTGTCAATTTGTAATGTCGAAAGGTTGTAACGATGGATGAATGTTTGCTGTTCTTTTACGCAAACTCTACAGAATAAAACTAAACTAATTTTGATACAAAGGTAGGTTATATCCAAAATTAGTACAATATGATACTTTACATACTAATTGACGTAAGTATTGTACCAAACACAACTTATTGTTGTATAATATTGATATATTTGCTACGAAACTTTCAAAAAAATGGTAGCTAATAAACAATTAGTAACCTCCTCCCTCTCTCACGAATTTAGTAATGTGTATATATATATATATATATATAATACAAAAAGCTATTGTTTGTTTATTTAATCGAATAGTGGCGACTCGACCACTTAGACGGTATTACTCAGGTCGAATTAACCAATACATGAGATGGCATTGTACGAAACAACTTGTTATCTACAATATGAAAAGATCCTGTTTGTTTGTTTAATCGAATAGTGGCGACTCGATCACTTGGATGATATTAATCCGGTCGGGTCAACCACATCATGAGATGGCGGTGTACCAAACACAATTTGTTTCCTGCGATAAGAAAAGCTATTGTTTGTTTGTTTAATCGAATAGTGGCAACTCGACCACTTGGACGATATTACTCAGGTCGGGTCGACCAATACATGAGATGGCATTGTACCAAACACAACTTGTTATCTGCAATAGGAAAAGCTATTGTTGTTTGAACGATTCCAACAGGATATTATTTTATTTTTTACCAGAAGGTTACCACGCGGATTCGCTCGCGTGTAACCGGTAATCCTACTATCCCGATGAGTATTTATGGGAAATACACCCCCTTGTTATTTTTTTGTTTATAACCTTGCTGGCTGTCCTTCGCGGCTTTGCTAGCATGCTTCAGTATATAAATTATCCTATGTGTATTAATCCTAAATTTGATCCAAATCCGTATAGCAGTTTAGTCGTGATTGAGTGACAAATATTCAAACATTTTTACAAATTTTAAGTATTTATATATCAAAATATATAAATCTGTTGTATTTGTTAGGCTAGTGGTATATACAGAGCATCTTCAGTCATTTGAAAATCTACCTACCAACCAACATGTACCTTCTGCCAAAATATACAAATACACAAAATAATATATATTTTATATATTGTGTTTATTAATATGGATCTAAAAATATAACAACAAATGTAAGTAATTCAGTATCAGTACAAAACCGGTAGCAGTAATAGCAGTAAACGTTTTGACAACCCTAATAGTCAAAGAGCCAATCACTTAAATGTCCTTAATTGACAAAGTAATAACATTTTATTGTACACTATGTCGTAGTGTAAAACGTGTAATATGAATAGAACGTAATTCAAAATTTCAAACAACTTACGTTATCCCATATGGTCTAGTGGCTAGGATACCTGGCTTTCACCCAGGAGGCTCGGGTTCGATTCCCGGTATGGGAATTTCCTCTTTTATGTTTATTTTATACCCTATATACCTATATATCTTTTTTCAGCGAAATACTTTGATCTAATCTTAAATAAGTACAAATTTTGTTTAAGTACAAATCTATATTTTAAAATGACTACAAAATGGAAGGAAATTTTCAATTCGTCTATTTGTGTTTGTGTTAGATCAATATAGATGTCGCTATTCTGAACAAAATTTAATAAATTCTCTTTAAAATTGTTATCGTGCTTACGTATTTCATTGCGAAGTAGAAAAATATTTTGCTCCACAGCAATATGGAGCAAAATCTAGTGCAAACATTTATAATAAACATTATTCGTTTTAAATTAAAAAATCGTCCAAGTCAATATTATTTTCAATATATTATATTATTAATAATATATTA